CTTTTGGGAAGCTGCTCAGAATCTATGTCTTGTGTACACTGGCCCCAGTCCTTGGAGTCCATTAAAAAAACCACTAGTCCCTGCAAAATGGTTTAGTTTAGTTCAGTATGAATTTACCTAGTGTTGTCTCAGTGCCAGGCCCCGTGCTAGGAGTGGGGGATGCAGAGATGAAAGACATGGCCCCCACCCACAAGATGGCCCAGATGAAATGGGGAGAAAGGGGTGTCATGGTGGCCCAGGCTGGGGCAGAACATCTGTAGTGGGTTGAATTCTCCCAAGTTCATGTCCACATGGAACCTCAGAATGGGACCTTACTTGGAAATAGAGTCTTTGCAGATGTGCTTAAGGTAAGGATCAAGATGAGACCATACTGGGTTAGGGTGGGCCCCAAATTCAATAAGGATGTCCTCATAAGGAAAATGACACATGAGGAGAAGAAGGCTGTGTGTGGACCGAAGCAGAGACTGATGCGATGCAGGTGCCAGCCAAGGAGCACCCAGGGTTGCTAGGAACCACCAGGAGCTAGGAAGAGGCAAGGACGGGTTCTTCTCTGGAGACATCTGAGGCAGCGTGGCCTGCCAATGCCTTGATTTTGGACTTCTAGCCTACAATGGGAAGGGTGCCAGGATCAGGGAAGGGAGCCTGGGTAGGAAGGTTGGAGAAGGCGCCACAGAGGATATGAGGATTGAATAAGAGTTCACTAGGCAGGGCAAGGAAAGGCATGATAGCAGAGGGACTAGCATGTGCAAAGGCACAGAGGTATGTTGTACATGGCAGGCTGAGGCTAGGGGAAGGATAGCATGTTTGAGTAACACCAGTCACAGTTCTTGTCCTCTGGGACACTATAGATTTTTGTTATAGGTGGTGAAGTTAAATTCAGCCTACGTTGGGACTTCGTGTCGTTCACCAGAGACAGCAGACGCTGAAGAGGATGAGGCAGGAGGGGACGACCCAGATGGAGAGCGAATGTTCCCGGCCTGGAGGGTTCACCATCGGAGCCCCCACTGCGTGTGGGCAGAGATTCAGGAAGGGTCTGAACAGGGAGGGGCTGCACTTCTAGTGACTCTGTCCTGCTGGGGCCATGCCACTCTGCCAGTGCACTGTCCAATGCAGTATCTGGCTAGCCATGTCCAGGCCAGCGAATGGTCTAACGGTGGCCTCAGGACAGCCAGGCCTTCTTTCAAGATGCCCCCGGAAGTCGGGGCTGGGGTGAGGTGTGCAGTGCTGAGACCTCCTGCCCACTCTCCCTGCTGGCTCCTTCTCCTGCTCTCGGTCTGACTCTGGGACAGGGTGTTTGATCTTTTTGTTAGTGTTCTCTTGCTTAGCTCTTGCTCCACTTTGTTTTTTTCCACCTTCCCTTGTCGCCTGTTGAGATGATTAGTCAAGCCATTTGACATTTTTTACTTAAAATGTTTCAGTTTAACTGCTGCCAGCTAAATATATTTGGACCTCGGCTATGGACTGTGCTTCTCTACTCAGCCAGGGAGGCCAAGGAAGCGTTGTGCCAAAACCATCCCTCTTTCTTTTTGGGTTGGGATTGTCCTCAGCAGATTGGAAACGGTCTCTCATATTCTGAGGGTTTATTGCAAAACCCCATTCAGGTACTGGGTTTGGCGCAGGTGTGTGGATTTGTCTGCCACCTGGGCATCTTCTCTGACACGCAGAGCTGGCCTGCAATGTGCTTGGCCCTGGTGCCATCTTTCTTTATAAATCCTGGGAGGCGATTTACATAGCTCCTTTGCTCCCCAGGGAGACATGGACCAGCGTTGAGCAGCCACAAACTCTGGCAGCTTATTAAATATTGGACTGAGAGGAAAGGAAGAGAAAGTCAAGGTGTTAGCAAGTCTCTGACAAGGATTTTTGGAGGCCACAGAAGGCATTTATAAATGGGAAGACTCCACTTCTAATTCCAGGCAGATGGGGCAGGCTGGAGAAAGCCCTCCACCCTCGGGCTTACCCAGATGTTTGAACTCAACCCAGACTTGCCAGACTCTGTTCAGGATCGGGATGGGGAGGAAAGAAGGAAGGATGAATGACCCCTTAGTAGAGGAGTTGGGGTGCTTGAACTAGCGCGACATTCATTTACCTCTGATTTGGAGATGGAGCTCCCAGAGACAAGGCACATTCAGCCTTCTCATTCATTTACTCTTCCTTAATTCACTCAACGTGTGTTTATTGAGCACCTGTAACTTATGTGGCAGACACTGGGGCCAACCCTGGGAATGCAGAGGAGAACAGGACAGATATAGGCATATAGAGGGGAAGACAGTGATCAGATAATTATAAATAGAACGAGGGTCTCAAAGGGGAAGAGTAGGGGTTAATGAGGCGTTCAGTAGGAGAGCTGACCCAAGCTGGGGCGGAGGTGCTCAGAAGGCCTCCTCGATGCAGAGTAAGGTGTTCCTCGAAATTCCATCAGGTGAAGTGGTAGGAGAGGTGTGGTAGGAGAGGTCATGGCAATGGCACATGCAAAGGCCTGAGGCAAGAGAGAGGAGGGTGTGAAATAACAAAGGATGGCTGAGAACAATGGGGCCAGAGAGATAGGCAGGTGCTGGATCCTAGAAGGCCCTAGAAGATGCCTGAAGGATGGGGGGCTTTGTGCAAAGGTCTCAGGGAAGCCACAGATCATCTCGAGCAGGAGAGTAGCACGATCAGGTCTGTGCTTTAACAAGATTACTCTGATTGTTGTGCAAGGAGGGATCCCCTGCGGGCGCCCCCAGGGCGTGAGGGTGGCTAGCGCTTGGCAGTGGAGACAGAGGGGCTGGCGGCCTCTGTGATTGGTTTCAGGGCACGGCAGACAGGATCTGTGGGTGGAGTGGGCGAAGGGGGGTCAGGGAAGGCGTGAGACCTGGGGGAGTAGGGAGTGAAACACCAGGGTATGACGTGCTGGGCAAGTGTTTTCAGGCGGAGGGTGCAAGTGTGAAAGCAGAAAGTGGGGCCTGTTGGAAGGAGGGAGGCTGAAGGGCAGCACAGCTGATGCTGAGTGAGGGGGACATGGTGGGAAATGACACTAAAGGTGACAGCAGAGAGGCCACAGGGAGTGGGGGAATCTTGCAGGTCCCGAGGCTCAGCTGAGAGAGCTGGAAAGGTTCGGAGGGTTTTAAACAGGGGAATGACCAATTCTGAGTTATGTTTTTAAAAGATCACACAGGCTGCTGTGTCGAGAGGAGATTTAGGAGGCCAAGGTGAAAGCAGAGACCAGGAATGGCACCGTCATAGCACCTTAGATGAGAAAAGGTGGTGGCCGGACTCGAGTTAGTGCTGGGGGTGGTGGGACGTGGTTGGCTCTGGATATATCTGGCGCAGACAGAGTATGGGAGGAAGAGAGGAGTCAGGAGTAGCCCGTGGCTTGGGGCTGAGACACTGAAGGAAAGGTGTTGTCCTCTCCCGGGGTGGGGAAGCCTTGGGGGGAGTAGGTTTGGTGAGGTGAGCGTGGTCTCGAACACGCTGAGTTGGAGGTATCTATTTAATATCACAGTGGAGGGGTAGAGTAAGCAGTGGGGTCTGCAATTAGAGAAAACTGAGCCTGGAGTGTACCTGCATTTATCCATCAGGAAAATGAAGAGACAAGAATGAAGCCTGGGGAGTCAGAGGGGACATAGGAGCAGGTGGTGTCCCAGAGCTGGGTGAGGAAGGGGTTTCAGGAAGGACAGGCCAGCGGTGTCCTCTGCTGCTGACCATGCAACTAGGACAAGGAAGAGAAATGGGCACTGCAGGCATCATTGGTTGTCTTCCCAAGAGCAGTTTCAGGGAGAGCAGGGTTGAGAGCCTGAGCAGAGGAGTTCAGAGAGAGGAGGTTGGAATACAATGCCAGCCCGCAGCTTAGGGGACAGTGTGCAGGCTGGGGCAGGGCTGACAATCCAGGTGGGACCTCTGGACCACTGCCAAGTGGTCTGGGAAGGAGGGCAGAGCTTCAGACCCCAGCAGGAGAAGCCAAAGTGCAAGGCATACAAACTAGGAAGAAAGGAAAAGTCCAGAACCTAGACCCAGGGGGCTGGTGGGGAGGAAGGCTACCGCTTGGGAGGGTGCCCTCTGGTTCCAGTCTCAGGGCAGCAACACTCATTCCAGATGCTTCCATTGGTAGGGAGAGAACTTTGCCCACACGGCTGGGCTGGGACAGGGCTGGCCAGGACAGACGAGAACCAGCCATGAAGCTCTTTGGTGCCCACAGCTGAGCAGGGCAGCGGTTCTTGACCCTGACTGCACATGTCAACCATCTAGGAAGCTTTCCAAAAATACAGAGTCCTGGGCCCCACCTCTGAGAATCCCTGTTGGTCCATCTCGAGTGGGGCTCAGTCCCTGTTGTTAAACCTCTTCCTGGGCGATTGCAATGTGCAGGCAGCACTGAGAACCGCTGCTCTGTGCTTCAGCTCATTCCTGAGCTGGGGGCCGAGCCAGCGTGGGGGCACTTGGAGACGAAGGGCACGACAGGGGTCGTCAGCCCTGGCATCCGAGGGCAGCGATTGCCGTAAGCTCCAAAGGAATTTGTTGGCTTTCCCTGAGAAGAGCAATTCTCATAACATTTACCAAAATGAAAATCTCGATTAATTCTGCAGTTTTATAGCTCCTCCGAGGATGGAGAAAAACATCATTTGGCACCAGAAACAAACTTTATTTTGATGGTGCAGGATAATTTTACAAACACTAGATACGGAATTGCACATACTTCTCTGGAATTTCAATGTACTACGTCCATAGAACACAGAGAAAGACAGTCGTGGCCAATTTCTCACGCTGCCACCTGGACCAAGTGCTTCCAGGGACCCTCTTAGATCTCTTGGTCCCCTTGTTCCAGATTTCAGGGTTTCCCTGGGCACATGTGGCCTTTTTCAGCCCAGACTTTCTTCTTTTGGGGACCTGCTTCTATCTGGCTACGTGGGCTGTCAGTCACAATAGTCAACCCCACCTCTGCCCCTGGGGACGTGATCCAGGACTAGCCAGCTACAGCAGCTCAGTCCCTGGCAATAGTGACCAGCTCCAGCTCGAGAGGTAGGCATGGGTCATCAGCATCGTTTATGGGTTTAATATATAGATAAAGCAAAGTGCTCTCCTGAAGATGCAAAGCCAGGGGATGTGAGTCTGAGTTTGTCAGTCATCATTGTCCTCACCCTGTGTGGATAAAGAAGCTCGTTTGTAGAATGAAGCTTCATAGAAATGAGGTAGAAAGGGAAGAAAGGAGAGAGAGAGGGAGAGGACATGGGGGTAGGGGAGAGACAGGATAAAGACAGAGATGGGAGGGGAGAGAGAGAGTTGAGAGCGTCAGTTCCAGCAATACTATGCCTGGTTCCAGGCCTCCACGCTCTGGCACTTGAGTCCTGTGAGCTCTCCCTGTTGTTAATGCTTTTAGGGTTGAGCTCTTTGGAGCTGGGTTTCCGTCCCTTACAGCAGAAGGCATCTCGACTGAGGCAGGTTTCTCGTCCAGCCTCATGGAAATGGGGACCTGTGGGGTATACACTGGAGAGTGAGGCAGGCGTGGTCGAAGAGCTTGTGAGGCAGCTGTCCCTGGGAAGTCCAGGTGTCCGTCTCAGGGTCGTAGCAGTCGAAGGAGGCCGAGTCTTCAATGTTGCAGTCTGTGGTCAGCCGCCGCCCGCCTGTCACATACAGCTTGTTCCCCATCACCGTGGCCCCGTGGTGCATGGTCCGGTCCTTCATGTCCGCACACTTGACGAATTTGTTGGACTGAGGGTCATAGGCAAGAATCCTCCTTGTGTAACCTGAGAACCAAATGCCACGTGGGCAAGCTCAGCACTGCTCGTCTGGGACGGGAGGTCAGCCGTCCCCGGCTGCCTCTGATCCCCGCCGCTGCCTGACACGGAGGCCAGGGCTCTGAGTTGGGGTGTGGGGTGCTGTGGCAAGCCACCAAGGCCCGGCCTGTGGCAGAGCTGGGGTTGGCACCCAGATCTGTCTGGCTCTGGCCTGGCATCCTTCACCCTGAGTCAAGGCAACACACAAGCTATTCTCAGATTGGGAGCTGCCTCCCAGTCCCAGCAACTTTCTCAACCTCACTGGCATTTTCATCTCTCATATGCCCATCCAAGAGCTATAAAAACTCCAAGAAGGAGCCTTTGGAAACTCAGATGTGAGTCCCCACAACAGCTCTATCTGGTAGGTGCTTTTAGGATCCCCATTTTACTGATGGGCAAACTGAGGCATAGAAAGATGTGTAACTTGCTAAACAGCACGTAGCCAGTTAGTGGCAGAGCTAGGATTTGAACCCAGGTCCATCTAACCCAGAACTAGTCCTCTTAACCATGACACTATACTGAGATGACAGAGAAATAACTATCAGTAGCTAAAATTATTAACAACAGGAAGCATTTTTTATTTACCATGTGTCTGCGATAGTGCTAAGTACTTTAGATACAGGAGTACGCTTATTAACACAACAACTCTGTGAAATATGTAGCATTTCATCCATTGTTTCCAGATAAAGACAGGGAGAAATTCTGGATGAGGAAAGAGTTTTGTCAGATTGTCCACGCTCCCCTGGTTGGATGGACGTGCTGTTAAAAGGACTATCTGGTAGAATAACATCTGCCTGCTAGTGCCTGTTCTTTCCATGGGAGGTGAGGTGTCAAGCTTGTGTCCAGCCCAGCCATCCTGTGTTCCGACTCACCTCCCACAATGACAATCCGCTCCCCAAGCACCACTGCAGGGGCGCACACATTCTTGATCATTCTAGTCTCCATTTTGAACCACGTGTTTCTGGAAATGTGATAAACCTGAGGGGCGAACAGAACCATGTCACCGCAACTTAAATATTTTTTTTAAAGACAGAAGTAGTAATTAAGAAGGTGAACTAGGAGTGCGTTTTTTTCTTCTATTTTTCTCCAGTTTAAAAAATATACCTGCAATACTGTTAATAAACAAAATATTATTAAATGGCAGATAAAAGAATATTATTGGAAATTGGTCTTTATGTGACCCCATGTGATCAATCAGTGGCTGGATTTCTATACAGTGGGCCAAGAGTTCTGCATTGTAGTATATATTTCACTTACCTTGCTTAGAATATTTTTTTCTTTTAATGACAAATGGAGCAATTTAGGTGTTCAGAAAACCAACAATTTTCCAGTCATTTTTATTTCTACCTTATGTTTAAATTCCTATATGTTCTGGCGTATCCAAGAGGGTCCTAGAGCCAAGAACAAATTTGAGGCTAAGTGAGGAAGGCTTTTGAACAGTTCATGCCTGAAAGTCATTAGAGCCTTAGGAAAAATGAAGCACGAGGAAGGGAAGAAAGACCAGAGAGGAGGGTCGGGCTGCTTCGGCGTGTTCTCAAACAGTGTGTCAAATCACCATTCCCAAAACCTGTTCTCCTGTTACTGTCCTCAGTTTAAAATCCAAATAGCAAATGTAAATTAGCTCATTATGAGAAAAATCTAGTACAAGACATATAGGATGGATTTTATATTAATATGATAAAAGAAGGAACACAAACATTTATTTACAGAGGATAATGGTGCAGTATTCTTCACTGGAAATTCTTTCCACATAAATTATACTTGTCAAAGTTATTAAAGACTTTATTATTTTATCAGATTTTATCTTCATAACCATCATATGGGGTAGGTACTATTACATCCTCCCGTTTTCCAGATTAGCCTATTGACCAGAGATGTTAAGTGACATGCCCAAGGTCATACAGCTTCAGCGAGTGGGAGAGCTGGTCTGGTTTGAGCCCAGAGTTCATGCTCTTAACCGCCAGGCCTGTGGCTCTGCCTGGGGCCAGGAAAATGTGGCCTTTCCTGATGGAGGCTTTTGAGACTGGGGCCCTCTTGAGGTCTCTGTCAGTCCTTCACGTCAGGGAGCCTGGAGGGGGCCAAGTGCTAGAGACAGGGGTAGTCACAATGGCTGTGAAACCTCATAATTTCATCTGAAAATATGTAGGCGACAAACTCTCTGGAAAGTGGGATCCTTGGAAGAAAAGCAAACACTGGTTGCATTTTAGTTGAGTGAGTAATTGCCTCCTGACCTTCTGTTCTCTATCAGCTTTGGGTATGGTTTCAAAAATAGATTAAACATTTGCTTATAATCCTCATAATTCCCCAGAGAGGCGGGGGCAAGCATAACAAAGGATGATCTTTGACCAGTGGAGGAAGTGATGCCTTGCTATGGTAAAGGACTTGCTTAATGCCATCCAGATAGAAAGGAGGTCAGGTGGAAAGGTACATGCACAGGTACAATTTGCATAGTGAACCTATTGCAGTATGGTCATTAAAAGAATGCATGTGTGCAGATGAACCATCTTGTGAAAAAAACTCCCAACCTATGCCTGAAAAATCCAACCTGCTCTGTCAAATGACTCCAAGCATTCCTTTTAAACTATATTTGAATGAGTAAAATTTCCATTTCTAAGCTAGTGCTAAGAAGATAAGAAAAAGACCCAAATTAATACTTTGACTATTTTCTCTCTTCCCACTGCTGCAGTGTAAAAGGCTCACTCATAGGCTAAATACTTTTTGGCTTTGCGATGATCTTGTTTGACGTACTATGTGTCTCTTGATATGCTAGCTTAAAGCTTTTTTGAGCTTTGCATTTTGCTCTTAGGAAGTCGCTGGCAATTTTGCAAAGTGAAATCCAGCATAGTTGTTGACTCTATTTTGAAAAATAGCCAAAAGAGAGGGAGGAGCTCTAGCTTTACATGGAAGCGCTTTGCTGTGTCTGTGTTGTGTGGTCAGAGCTTGGACGGGAGCAGAATGTCTCTCCCAGCTCAAGTAAAGGAGCACGGTTTGGAACAGTAATTCTGGAAAGACTAAGAATCTGCCTAGATGATCAAGGAAGAGCTGAAAATATGGGCTGGAGAAGTGAAGGCAAGAAAAAGATCCCCACAGCACCAACCAAGGGCAAGCCATCACTATCCCTTGCCTGGAACTCTAGAAGAGTTTCCCAATTTTCCTCCTTTTGTTCTTTCTGGCCCCTCCAATCCCTTTTCTACATGGTGTCCAGAGGGAACTTCTAAAAATGCAAATTTGATCACCTCACCCACCCTCTCTGAAACCCTTTAATGACGTCCAGGTACTCCCAGGTTAATCCCAATTCCTTGACAAGGCCCAGAGCCTAACAAGACCAGCCTCATCTCCACAAATACCCATCCCTCAAGAATGTTCCAGAATTTTTATAGGAAGGGCTCTGGGTAGAGGAGGTTGCTCAGGTAGCTTTGGAAGGGGCTGATGGAGATCACATGAGGACTAATACCCCTCCCAGTTACCCCCTGGCACACTGCCTTTCTCCTTGCTTTGGGCTGCAACTAATTTTCATGCTTTCATGTCCACAAGGCAGGGGGCTGGGTCCCTCTGTGCTTCAGGGCCTTTGGACAAGCTGTTTCTTTACCCAGGAACAGCCCCCCCCCCCCAATTCGGTAGACAGTTCAGACTCCTGCTTCAGATGGTGGAGAAGCTCCCTCGTCTCTGCCCACATCACAGCTTCTGTTCCATGCTCTCTCAGGATCCACCCCACCCTCCACCTCCTCTTTGATCTTCATCCTCACCTGCCACCTCTCCTCTCCTGCCTCTCTGCTCAAGTCAGCTTCAGCCAGAGTCACAGGATTCTCTCCAATGTTCCCTGAACCTAATGCTCTCTCTGATTCCTTCTAGACTGGCTTAGAGCACCCCTCTGTGCAGCATCTGAATGGCACTGGTCTTGTCAGCTCTTTGAGCATTATGTGTAATAGCCGTTCCCTCTTGTGAGGCCTTCACAGGGCTTGGTGCTCAACATAACTCTTGCAAATGAACAAAGCAGATCTCATGGGATCTTCTTGATTATCTGTAATAATAAGCTCATTGCTCAAGTTTTTCATATCATTAGATGAACTGCAGCGATTACGAGAAACTTGCATAGAGTTGGAAAACACTTAATATTCTGGAATGTGGCCTTTATTAATCGTACTTCTTGGAGAGCTTATTAGTGAAATTAGTATCTACCTGTCATTTAAGAGAGGTGCTCCCCAACCTGGCTGTACCTCAGAATCCCCTGGAGTCTCTTGTAAACCATGAATTTTAGGATCCCACACAGAGATTTTGATTCAGCAGATCTGAGGTCCGATTCCAGGAGATTTGGTAACAGAGGTATGGCCCAAGATTTGGGAATCTTTTACTGATTTAGGTTAGAAGCATCTGCCAAATTCCTATAGCTAGGACTTCACTATCTGACATTCAGTGTGTTCCAGCTTGAATTTTTAGATATATTTTTTCTCCTGAAATTAAGATAAACTTTTCGTGGATAGGGATTGTATTTGATATACCTTTGAATGTATTAATCTTGTACAAAAGAATTCCTAAATTGAAAAAAATCTTGCTGAAAATGATTCTTCTTTCCTCCCTCTCTTCCTCTTTCCCTTCCTCTTTCCCCTCCTTGCAAATGACAAGTGTGTATGTGTGTGCATTCATGCATGTATGCATATGTTTGCATGCATGTATGTGCATATATGTATTGGCATATGGGTATGTATATGTGTGCATGTGTAAATATGTATGTATGTGTATGTGTATGCATGTGCATGTCTATGCATGTGTGTACACACACACATTCATGTACTTACATGATGGGCAGAACCAGCCATTTACCTGGATAAGGCGCACAGGGTTCTGCATGATGTCCTCTCCCCCAAAGAGGTAGAGTCTTTGGTCTTTCACAGCAACGGCCGGATGGAGAACCCCCACTGGCATGCTGGCCATAGTCTCCCAGACGTTGAAGATGCTGTCGTACCTCTCCATGGAGCCCATGAGCTCCTGCCCTTCCCCAATGCCCCCGATGGAGAAGATGAAGTTCTTATGGGCAGTGCTTCTGTGAGAGTAGCGGGCTGCCAGCATGGGCTCCCCCAGCCTCCACTGATTGAGTTTCAGGGAGAAGATGTAGACGTTGTGGCTGACCAGACTCCTCCCTGAGCTGACAGCCATGCCCCCGAGCACGTAGACGCTTCGGTGCAAGGTGACGGCCGAGGCCTTGTACAGGCGGGTGGGGAGTTTGGCGAGGCTCTGCCATTGGCCAGTCTGTCTGCTGTACAGCAGGACATCCCTGGTGGTCTGCTGGCTGTCCTTCCGTCCCCCCAAGAGGATGAGGAAATCTTGGTAAGAGTTTCTTGGAGGGACATACGACAGGGGTTTGCAGTCTGCAACGCTGGTACAGTACAAAGAGAACATCTGCCTCTTGGCCATCTCCAAGATGGTCTGGCACGCGGGTGAGGATTGCAGGAGGGCGTCGTTGGCGATGAAGTGGTGGAAGAAGGCTGGGTGGATGTACTGGAGCCTGACCTGCTCGAACAGTTCCTGCACATGTCGTTTCCGGGCCTGGAGGTCGTGCTTGATCCAAGCCATGAGAGCCTCAAACACCTTTTCCTCCTCCCCACAGAGCCCGTCGTCTCCGAGGTAGGCTCTCAACTCCAGGGCGCGGAGCTCCTTCAGGTCAGCAGACGCGGCCACCTCTGGGAAGTACGTCAGGGCCACCTCCCTGGCTTTTTTTCTGAGGGTCTCGCAGCTTAGGATTTCCGCGAGCCTGAGCATGCCCAGGCAGTTGCTGGGGGCCAGCTGGCTCTGCAGGTATGAGGAGCAGGCCTCAAACAGCTTGGGGTACTGCAGCATGGACGCCGCCTCCATCAAGGGAAGGACGTTGTCGGCGGCGATGCGCACCTCCCCCGTGTACACATAGGACACGATCTGGTCCAGCATCGGGGAGTCGATGCCTTTCAGCTGGACTTTGGCCTCTCTGTTCTCCCGGAAGCTGCTGCAGAACATGGCCCGGAAGTAGGGGCTGCTGGAGGCCAGCACATTGCGGTGGCAGGGGACCTCCTGGGTGCCGGTGCAGAGGCTCACATCCGTCAGGATCCTGCTTTGTCTTAAGCCATTGAGCTGCCGCAGCAAGTCGGAGGAGAAGTCACCGTCTTTGAAGAGCAGCCCATCTGGCGACTCCACGTCCATCCTGCAGAGATGAGAGGAAGTCCTGGGAGGGAGCACGACTCAAGCCTTCCTTAGTGGCATGTGCTGGAGGCTTCAAGGTGTGGGGGCTCCAAGACTCGGCACATCTATGTCCCTTCACCAAGATGGCTGTGGGTGTCACCAGGAATATCGCACAGGAAAGAGCAGACCCCAGACCTCAGAGCTGACAGGTCTCTTCTTGGTTGTGATTAGTCTCAAAGGTCACAGGCAAAGAGCATCTTCAGCTAATCTGAGAAAAAAAACAACCACAAAAACCAGAGTTGTTGGAAGTTACTTGGCTGCCAGGGGCTGAAATGTTAGCCTGTAACAAGACAACAGTCCATGCATTTGACCAGCAGGCATGCGTAAGCCTTCTTCCAGATTCTTGGCATGTTTGTTATTTAGTAAACTCATCTAAACATCTCTTTCTGGGTGTTAGTCATTCCCTGAGGGTGACATCCTGGGGGTGTGGCCCTCTAGTAACCAGACAGAAATGAGGGATGAAAATGGGCCTTTGCAATATACATATATTTTTTAAAAACATGACTTCATAGAGCCTTTCTGGTTTTGTTTTAAAGATGGAATAAATAGAAAGCAGAGACCTAACATTACCCTGGTTTATTGGATGACAGCTGGCAGTCAGTCTACCTGCAGAAGAATTAAGCATTAGAGATATTTACCTTGTTTTGCTGCAGTGACATCCACCGATGCCTAGTCCAACTCGTCCCCCCAGAGAGATTCCACCTCTCGCTCCGAGCGAAACCATAAACCCCCAGGCCTTTCCTTTAGTTGGCAAATGATTTGTCCTAGGAGAGTTCTGGATTTGTTTATGCTGAAGGCACTTTCACAGTTTTCTAGAGCTTTGTGCAAGGACTGCTGGGCAGGGAGACAGTGTATACATTCCAGGGCTAAGAATAGTTGCATATGTACTTTCCACTGTTATGACATGTGACTTTCCAGTTGCCTTTTGCAGCAACCCGAGGGCCTGCAGGGCCCGCGCATGCTCACATGCCTTGTTTCCTTGGCAAGTGTTTATATCGGCAAAAATAGATCGGGAGGAACAGCTTCTCTTAGAGAAGACTTTACTGCCCACTTGGAACCATCTGAGTCCCTTGTCCTAAAAGTACCTGGGAATTCTAGATGTCTGTAAACAGGTTACTGTGACCTATGGAGAGTCACTGAAGATGGCTCTGGGCCACGTTGAAAGTGGCAGGTGGTCACAGGGGAAGCCAGAACACGGGCTTGTGGGTGCTGTTCAATGGCTCTCTATTTCCCACCATCTGCCTGGCAGAATCGGCGGAGAGGGCTGTGACTTCCTCCTCCAGGCTTTAAGGTGATGGAATCCTGACATCAGTTGTTTTTTGTTGAGCACCCTGGAGTTTCCAGACTCGTGAAAGACCAGACCTTTGTTGGGCCTCCTCACCCCAGGAGCTTCCGGGTTGTGTCTGCCTCTCCCAGACATGTGCAATCTTTTTTATAGCTCAGCCTTCCTTTTCTGTTTTACTTTTCCATTTTCTCTTGTCTGGCAGGCTTGAACTAGAGGCAGGAGGCAAGGCATGTTGCTCTAGGGAGGAAGAGGAGGGGTAGTAGGAGGAGGAGGAGAGAGGTGGGGAGGAGGAGGAGGAGGGGGAGGAGGAGGAGGGGGAGGAGGAGGAAGAGGGAAGTGGGGGGGAAGGCAGCCTCCAGTGATAAGAATCAGAGCCACATGGAGGCTTTCGAATCACTGGGGAGACTGAAAGGGGCCTCAGGCCTGTCCTGCCACTGCCTTCAGGGAGGTCGGTGACTGTACTAGCCACCAGGTGGGGAAGCCTAACTTTCTGTCCTTCTCACATCTTGCTCAGACTGTTGCAACAGCCTCCCGTGCTGCTTTTGTTCTTTGTGGCTAGTGCTTCTCCTTCCAACACGGCCACCCTGTCCTTACCCAGGAGACACCTGGGAAGGCAAGTCAGAATCTGCCACTTCCCTGCGTCATGCTCTTCAGTGGCTCCCCGTGTCTCCAGGACTCTTTAGCCAGATTGGTCTCCTGCTTGCTTCCGGAACCATGATTTCTCCCACCTATATTTTATAGTCTTGCCCCATCAGACAACTTACTCGTCCTTGTATGCGTCTGGTCCCTGTTGGGGAGGCTGGGCTGGCCTTGCAGGTACCACCGGGCAGGGTGGAAGGAGTTGCAGATCACAGAGTGGATCTCGCCCAAAAGAGTCCAGAAGGTCACGATCAGGAAAGTGTGTCCAAAACGTGTTACTGGGGCCAGGAGCATGGAGGCCAGAATTAGGAGCAGAAGGCCTGAGCCAAGAGGGTCAGGGACCCACGGAGGCACAAACAAGGAGCAAGACAGAGGAGCTGTTCCTACAGGTGTTGGAGCTGGTGACCCTTCCTGGGTTTCTGAGCTGTGCTGGTGACATAACAGGCGAGTGGGCAACTTCCTCAAGGAGCCTGGGGGCCTCTGTTTTCTATTCTGTGCTGTCACATGTGCTCTTCCCTATGCCATGTCCGTCATTTTCACTGCTCCCGTTCATCCTCTAAAAACTTAGTTTGTAGATCACTTCTCTGAAAGTCTTCCTTGACTCTCTCAGACAATTAATTTCTCACTCCTCTGTACTGTTTCCATTCCTCCATGCACTTCTTTTTATTATTTTTTAAATTTTAATTTTTAATTTCAGGATATTACAAGGGTACAAACACTTTGGTTACATACATTGCCTTTGTACCACCCAAATCAGAGATACGAGCATGCCCAACCCCCAGACATCGTACACCACACCCATTAAGTGTGAATATGCCCATCTCCTCCTCCCTACCCACCTGCCCGATGCCCTATGAATGTTACTTCCACGTGTGCACATTCCAGTATGACATGCCTCGCACCTCATTGCAATTATGTCTACTGTTTGTGTCTCTCCTGGTAGAGTGGAAATCTCTGGACCACAGGAACCTTGACTTCATTGTCTCTCTAGCCCCAGCGCCCAGCACTACACCCGGCACACAGTGGGTGGATTGTATATAGTTCCTGAATCGAGCTGTAACAGAATGGAGAATGGAGAGAGGGAGCCTTGTTGGGTGGACTTCACGCCCCATCTGCTGTGTGGGTTTAGCAGGGCTGCTGCAGACAGCTTGGTGTGTAGACTGAAACGCAAATGGTGCTCTGGTGCAGCCCTGATCTTCATTCCAATCAAGTCCAACAATGTGGGGAAGTAAAAAGTACAATTGCTCCATATGGCAGAGCGAGAGTCAAGTTCAGGTTGGGAACTGACGTGAGGTCCTCCTACCTCCAAAGCCAGTGCTTTTGTCTTTGATGAAAAAATAACTTCCTTATAGCTCTGACACGCCTGTGTTATTTCTCTTCCAGCTAGCGAGGAAGCTGTGGGTTTGTGCGAGGGTAATAGACAGGATTCCTGGGAGTGAATTAACACAGCACCGTTCCCTGGCAGGGATTTTGCATTTCCTACATCTCCTAACTAATTAGACCTTCTGGAATACAGCCCTGTCCGGCGTTCAGATGAGCCTTGGTGTGCAATGTCAATGTCTGGCCAATTTTGCTAAATCTTTTGGTTTCTAATGTTTCAAACAGGCCTCATTCTGTTGGCTTGGCCTACTAGGAGAATTTTGGTCTTACATTAAATGTCAGGAAAGAACACAAAAGAGAGTCTTGGTGTTTATCACATAGCAGACACACACATATAACACCAAGCCCAGTCCAAAAAAGAGTCTCTACCATCTACATGTAACCACAAGTAGCCTATTCACGGATCTAGTTCTCTCAGAGAGTTTTATACATTTTGTCTTAATTTTCATCTAGAGGATGTCTTAGTCTAGGACCTGAACATATGGCAACCTAAAATAAATGAGGACATTCAGCTCCTTGTCCCTTCTTTTGATGAAAGTCAGCATCATAACAAATCAAGGCCCAGACTTTGGAGGCAGAGGGGCTAGGGATAATCTTGGCATTTTCCCTCGGTATCTGTGTGGCCTTGGGCAAGTGACTTACATTCTCCTAGCCTCAGTTTCCCCATCTGTTCAATGGGGATAACCATCCTTGTCACAGAAAAATAACACATGTGAAGCATCTGGGACAGGTAGATTCATGGTAAATTATGGTTATTTCTTTATGACTCTGAAAATAACCTCATTACATTCCAGTAGGTCTTGGTGCCTGGTTTTCAGTGTCTCGTTTGGTCTCCTGTGCACTCTAGCCGTTTCCTTGAGCAATTGCTGTGTTCCTCATGATCTACTCAGTCTCCAGGAGGCCTGGATTTCAGCCCAGGCTCTGCTATGGACTGGCTGTGTGTGTCTTTGGACAAGTCACTTAACCCCTTTGCACTTGTTTTCTCACCTGGCCCTTCCAGCTCACCCTCCCGTGGTTCCTGCCCTGAGACGTCCTCTGCAAGCTGTGGTCTGGGAGGGGACCCTGAGAAGCTGAGCCTCACGGGTAGGGCCGCCTCAGAGCTCCTGCACGTCTCTGGCCTGAGGCTGGGAGCAGAAAAGCAGCGCTGGTTGAGCCGCCAGCTGCTATTCTTTCTTATTTTGCCAGTTCAGAAAGCCTTCATTTTCCTCACAGATTCTTGATCGACATTGCAGCGCTCTTTGACTCAGGAGGCCTCGGTTTCTTTCGCACCTGGGCGCTCCCGGCCTGGGTCCCTGTAGAAAGGGCAGACTGGTTCAGGTCAGCTGCAGGCTTGACAATGACAGCCAGGAAGCCACACAAAACATGCTCCAGCCTACCCCACCCCAGTCCTCCCGACCCCCTCAGGGCTGTGCTGTCTTCTAGCCCCTTCCACAAGCAGTTCCCTCGCACTGTTAGGGAACCATAGCCGTGGGGGCTCCCAAGAGCTGTGCTTCAAGGATGGACAAACATGCACACAGAGGCCCTTGTGGTGGCTGCTCTCTCACTGGAAGGCTGTTCCCCACCAGCATCAGTGTCTGCTGTTCCCACAGTCCGCAGGTGGAGCACAGAGGTGGAGGAGAGATCCGAGAAGCAGACAGCTCAGCCAGATTAGGGGAGGCTGTAGGAAGAAATTTGCCTCTTGATATGTGATTTAAATTTTTTTCCCCATACATGTGAGAGCCCAACTATCTGTGTCTGTATCTTCCAGCTGGGTCTGTTTTTTAACCGGCCTGTGGAAAGCTGAACAAGGACTCTGTACTCCAGACAAAGGCCCAATGGGGCCTGCTCCTTCAGTCCAGGGGTTGCCATGACGACCGTCCTCCAGGAGCTAAAATCCTAATGCTACTTTTACTAGGCCAGTAGTACAGATGCCTGCATTCCCCACTCTTCCTCCACCCTGCCCCTCCACCAGAAAATATCTTCATATTTTTTTCCCCTAGGGAGGGTAAGGGAAAAAAAAAGGCCAACAGAGACGACATCAGGAATGCTAGTGGGTTGTTGATATAACCCGCTATCTGCCACCCCTCAACCCTCCACCCCCCACTTCTTCTGCAAACTCAAGTCTGATCTCATCTATCATTTACGCCACAGATCAGCTTTCTGGGCTCTCAATCAAACTGAGAAGAAAGAATAGGACCAAGGATGCTTTCTTACACTCCTCTTTTAGCACTGTGAGTCACAAAGAATAATTTAACACTGCTTTGGCCTCTCTGTTTCCCATAACCAGGCACTCCCTGATGGTAAGACAGGCATTTAGGCAGAGGTGCCACCTCCTCTGAGCCATTTAGGAACAGTTTGGCAATTGGCTGCGGTGGAATAGAAGGCTGAAAGTTTACAGAAGGAGGACTGAGTGGGAGGGTGAATTTTACTGCTTTCAAAGTGGGGATAGTTAGAATCCACAGAGGAAATGGGAATTGGACAAGAAAGGATCTGAATAACTAAGGGTCATTTACCCATCCATCCTTCATTAATCCATCTATCCATCATCTATCTATCCATCCATCCATCCATCTATTGATTATCTATCCATCCATCTATCCATTATCCATCTATCCATCATCCATCCATTATCCATCATCCATTTATTCATTATCCATCCATCCATACACCCAACCATCCATCCATCTATCCAACATCCATCCATCCATCTATCCATCATCCATCTATCATCCATCCATCCATTTATTCATCATCTATCTATACATCCATCCATCATCTAACCATTATCCATTATCCATTTATTATTCATCTATCCATCTATCCATCCTTCTATTCATTATCCATCCATCTATCCATTATCCATCTATCCATCATCCATCTATTCATTATCCATCCATCACCCAACCATCCATCCATCTATCCAACATCCATCCATCCATCTATCCAGCATCCATCCATTTATGCATCATCTATCTATACATCCACCCATCATCCAACCATTATCCATC